TCAATGGCAGCAATAAAACTTTTGTGCTTATTAGAGAGATTGTTAGTGCAAACATACTGAGAAATAGGATATTTAGCACATGATCTTCTTTCCTTTCTCAATGCAATGGGTAAATCCTCAATAATACTTACCTCCTCCTCATTGATATCTTCAAGGATCCTCACCTCCGGATTAGACAATTTTTCTTGCTCAAGAGTCAAAGTGGGTTGTTTTCTTCTTTCATATTATTTGCCAAAACATTTGTCTTCTTCCTCACTGTGGACTATGGTAGCTTCATTGCTTAGGTCTTGGGCATCCTGCAAAGACAAACATGGTAATGACAAGAAGGAGAGTTCATCCACTTCAAGTGCTTTCTCCCCCTGAAGTGGTGGACTGACATAAAAGGATTGTGTTTCATGAAAGGTGACATTCATGATGATAAAGACGCGATGACTCTGAGGATGATAACATTTGTACTCTTTTTTATTAGAAGGATACCCAATAAAGACACATTTAAGAGCTCTGGGATTTACCACAGTTAGGATGATGAGAGTGAACAAAAACAACACATTCAAAGACTCGACTAGGTAGACTCGTTATTAGGGAAGAAGAAAGAACAAAAGACAATAGAGACTCTATAGGACTAATGCCATTTAAGATACGAGTGGGTAACTTGTTGATGAGATATGTAGCAGTTAACACAGCTTCTCCCTAGTAATTTTTTAGAACAGACATTTGAAAAAGAAGAGCTCTAGTTACTTCAAGAAGATGATGATTCTTTCTTTCAGCAACCCCGTTTTGTTGAAGGGTGTTAACACAGGTTAGTTCATGAACAATACCATTATGAGACAAAAAATTGAGAAATTCATGATTCACATATTCAGTACCATTATCAGACCTAATTCTTTTGATATTTTTTCCAAATTGATTTTGGACAAGACAGAAAAAATTAACAAAAATTTGAAAAACTTCGGATTTATTTTTCATAAGGTATGTCTACGTGACACGGGTACAATCGTCAATAAAGGTAACGAACCATTTGGCTCCGAAAATAGAATCTATGACAGGACCCCAAACATCAGAGTGAATTAAATCAAATGGAGAAATACTCTTTTTATTACTAATAGGATAAGATGCTCGATGGTGTTTTGAAAATCGACAAATATCACAATTAAAAGACTCAACAGACTCTTTGGTAAACAAATGGGGGAAACAAGGACTTGATAAGACTAAATGAAGGATGTCCAAGCCTTTGATGATGTAGCCATATTTGGGAATTTGCCCACATCTCAGATGTAGCTTGTTGACTCATAATTTGTGTGTTGCTTTGGTCATCAAACTCTAAAAAATACAACCCACTTTGCTCCTTAGCAGTTAAAATCGTCTTCCCCATGGCAAGGTCCTTAAAAACACAATAAGTTGGAAAAAATGTTACTGAACAATTTAAATCCTTTGAGTTTTTGCACAAAGATAAGACTATTAGCTAATTGAGGAACATGTAAAACATCCTTGAATATAATAGATGAGTCCAAAATTATATTCCTAGAGCCGCATATAGGTATACCTTGACCAATCGCAACTATAATAAGTTGTGCTTTATTGCTTTTAGCATGAGTCGAAAGACCCACTAAAAGGTGTCATATGATCAGTTGCACCCGAATCAAGGATCCAAATACCTTGAGACACATGACCAACAGTATTGAGACAAATCTTACCTTCTATGGACAAAATACATGATCTAGAGGGCTTACTCATTGATTCCACCATTGCTTCCAAGCGCTCGAGTTTCTCCTTATAAGCTTTCATATCAAGATCTGGTGGTGGTGGTGGATTAGACTGTGAAGAACTAGATTGATTGGTGGCTTGCTGTTCTGAGGTGTTACAATGGAACTAGATTGTCTAATCCGGAGGTGAGGATTCCTGAAGATATCAATGAGGAGGAGGTAAGTATTACAAAGGATTTACCCATTTTTTAGTAGACCCTTTGTTGTTTCCCAGGCGCTCGAGAACATTCTTTCTTCCATGGAGTTTGAAGCATGTTTCCTTGGTATGTCCAGATCTTTTACAGTATGAACAATAGTCCCCATAAGTACCTTTTTCAAACGTCTTTCCCCCAGCATTTGTTCCCTTGTGGACTCCGTTTCCAGTTGTCATGGCAGAGCCTGCGTTGGAGATCCCTCCATTAAGCATGACGGTTCTCCGAGTTTCTTCTCCTCTTATCATAAAAAAAACTTCTGACAGGGATGGTAATTTTTCTCTTCCAAAAATCTGAACTCGGATTGGGTCGTACTCATGATTCAGGCCCTGGAGAAATTTAAAGATTCTTCCCCTTTCAATGAATTCAGCAAGAGCGGTAGCATCTGTTTTACACATCTTTATTGTTTGGTTCTGATCGAATTCCATTCAAAGACCATTCAGGATTCCGTGATATTCTGATACGGAAAGGGAGCCCTGTTTTGTATTAAATATCCTGTTCTCAATGTCATAGTATGTAGCAAGATCCTTTTTTAAAGAAAAAGCACTCTGTAAATCATCCCATATTTTTTTTTGCAGAAGAATGAAACATATAATTTCTCCTTATCTCAGGAATCATGGATTGCCACATCCAAGTCATAATTAATGAATCTTCATTGTCCCAAATTGAAAAATGAGTGTCGTCTAGTCCTGGTCCTTCCCCATCTATGTGATCAAGTTTTGAACTACCCTTGAGAACCCTTCGAATAAATTGGCTCCATTGTAAGTAATTCTGACCATCCAACCGACAGGTACCTCCTATATTTGGTANTGATGGTATTGTCATATCTCAGAGGAAGTATGCGTTAGACATCTTGGAGGAAACAGGGTTAATGAACTGTAAATCTGTTGAGACACCTATGGACCCTAACATCAAACTCCTACCAAATCAGGGGGAGCCTTTCTCAGATCCTGAACGGTACAGAAGACTAGTTGGTAAATTAAACTATCTTACTGTTACGCGTCCTGACATTTCCTTCGCAGTTAGTGTGGTGAGTCAATTTCTAAACTCCCCATGTGAAGACCATTGGGATGCAGTTGTTCGCATACTGAAGTATATTAAAAGATCACCTGGGAAAGGTTTGCTATATGGCCCTAACAACGATACAAAAATCGTTTGTTATTCAGATGCTGATTGGGCTGGTTCCCCTTCTGATAGGAGGTCTACTTCTGGATATTGTGTCTCTATTGGTGGCAACCTGATATCTTGGAAAAGTAAGAAGCAAAGTGTTGTGGCAAGGTCCAGTGCAGAAGCAGAATATAGAGCTATGGCATCAGCTACTTGCGAGCTTGTGTGGCTTAAACAATTGTTGAGTGAATTGAAATTTGGAGATGTCACTCACATGATACTTATATGTGATAATCAAGCTGCTCTCCATATTAGCTCTAATCCTGTCTTCCATGAGAGAACCAAACACATTGAAGTTGATTGCCATTTCATTCGAGAAAAAATCATATCCGGAGATATCAAGACTGAGTTTGTTAATTCAAGCAACCAGTTGGCAGACATATTCACTAAGTCCTTACGAGGACCTAGAATTGATTATCTTTGTAACAAGCTTGGAACATATGATTTATATGCTCCAGCTTGAGGGGGAGTGTTAGATATTAAGATGTGTGTTTTTGTTATTTGGGCTTAGTCTATTCTGTATTAGGGCATTGGCCCATATCTTACAATATAAATAAACTACCCTATGTGTATGCTAAACACACAAGGGATATTTTCTCCCAATCTTCTCTATTTCTCATAATCACTTTTATTTTAAATAATTTATTTAAGGATATTATAGGAAACTTTTATCCAACCATCACCCAAAACTTCCTCCCTTTCCACCCATTACTATGTGATGACACTACAGCTAGCAAAGTTGTTGATGCTGATGAAGAGGTAGCTGGCCTTCAGCTTGCAGACCCAATTGTCGGAGGTAGACAAAGTTGGGGAGGAAAGAGAGATGAGGTAGATGTTAGGCTTCAATGGTGTTTTTATTGGCAAAAGAACAAGGTGATGGCACAATGTTCATGGTGAATCCAGTTTGAGTTTGCTGCTTGGTCAGATATGGGCTCTAGAATGATTCTGCCTTCCAAGATTCATTAGATAGATCTGGCGTTGGGTGATGCAGAGCACAAATTCAGTGATTTTCCCTACTTATCTTTCTTTCATACCATTATTCATTTAGTTTCCATTTCTGGTGATTGAACCTGATGTAGGTAAATGACAGAGTGATTCAATTTCATATTCTCAATTTCATATTCTCAATTTCAAATTCTTAGGAAATGGTTTAGCCAAAGCTCAATCTTACTAAATCAACTCATAAAGTGAGCATTTCCCTTATATTATGTATCTTAGCACTATCTCTAGACAATGTAGACCTTGGGTTTTTCCGATACACTATCACATCCAACACTATTGGACTCGGTACATGTATAATATGGTGAATGATCGTTTTAATGGATTTAGGATAAACTCTCGTCCCATCTCAGAAAGTGGTTTAGGCCTAACTTTATCCTATAAAATCAACTTGTAAAATGAGGATTACCCTTACTTATATTATACCTTTTGGCACTATCTTTAATCAAAATGGGACTTTAATATTTTTCGCAACAAATTATCTAAAGGATAGGTTTTAAAGAACTGCAATTCATAATTCAGATTGAGAAAGTGAAAGTGATCTACTAATGAATTATTGAGGCCATATTAGACAAGCTTCTAGAAGCATTTCTAAGAGAAAAATAAGAATGAAAAATGAAATGAAATTTTTCATAAGTCAAAATTAGTTTATCAATAACCTAATTTCTAAAAGCTCTCTCATAGTTTTCCTAAATTCTTATTTTTAATCTGTGCATAAGCTAATTTTAGTTTATTGAAAAACTCATTTTCTTTAATTTTCTCTTCTAGAAGTGCCCTTAGTTAAACTTGTATTGTATCTACAAAGAAAGTTGTGAAGTTAAAGCACAAGGAGATAAAATAATAAAGGATAATAATCTGCAGAAAGAAACAGTGGTTGAATGTTTTGTTTGAAATGAAATGGCGTAGCAACCAAAGAGAGAAATATTACTTTCAATGGTTAAATATTAAATTACTATAACAAACCCATTATGAATAAATCAAAATAAAAAGAGACTATGGGATATTTTGTCCTATGCTATGAATGGACTCCAAGGAATTCAGAATTTCACATAAGATCTGTGTATTCAGGCTTTTGCTACTGATATTACACTGGTGTCATCGGCAGAGTTATAACAAATATACTGCACAGCTGACATTTCTGGTAGTCATTCTTATACATTCATAACTGTAGAGCTTAATTGAATGAAATCTGCCTGACCATGCATTTATTTAAGTTGTTTATCTGAGTATATAAATGACCCAATCAACCAAAAGAAATAACACTAAAAAAGACAAATATCAAACATAGCTGAATATCTAATGGACCACAAGTGGGCCAAATAAGTGTTACCTAACTTGTGGGCTTTCTCCGCAAGAACACCAAGATATCGTGTCACTCGGTCAAGTTTTGCATTTGAATATTCTTGAAGTTCACTTGCTTCTTGTCTTAACTGCAGGTAGTCATTTCTTGCAAGCTGTGCAAAATACCTGGTGTAATTGTTAACATGTGTCTAAAACAAAAATTTCCATAATCCACAAAGATCAAGTAGGAGAGCAGACCAAAAAAACATATAGTTGAAAATAAGACTGATTTATTATTCTCAACCATAAAAAATACATTCTCGTATCCTCTATTTATAATAATCTAATTCTCCTAAAAAGGAAAATAGGAAAACTAGGAAAACAAAATAAAATAAAAGATTATATAGCTATTTCCTCTAATTAGGAAGATTATAAAGATATTTTCTCTAATTACAACACTCCCCCTCAAGTTGGTAAATGAATATCAATTATTCCCAACTTGCCTATAACATCTTGAAATCTACCCGGAAGAAGCTCTTTTGTAAAAATATATGCTATTTGAAGTTCTGTAGGAACATGAGTTGTAATCACTAAGGTTGTCAAACTCGAGAGTTTACATAAATTCATGAGAGTCCAGTAAACTCAAATCGTAAACTCGTAAGAGTTTACTTTACATGAAAAAAAATATAAATTCAAAGAAATGTTTTTCATAGAAATATTATTATTGTAAAACATAAATTGAAATGTCAAAGTCTCTACATCTAATCTCTTCATCATCTTCATCATCATTTTTCCAGAACATTTTTACTTCTACTTTCAATAATTGTTGAAAATGCACTTGGATTAGATTCTACCGAGTTTGATGCGTTTCCAGACATAACAAGATAAACTCTTTCACTACAAACATAAAAATAAAATGCCGAACAGCTTAAAATATTGTAGCAGCAAGGGTTGTTCAACAGTGCAGTGTGTAACATTTTATTTTTGAAAAATAAAATGAATGGTGCAGTGCTATAAAATGAAACCCATTAATATTGTGTTGTAAAATGCTTTGGTAATAAAACATGAAATCAATTTAAACATCACCAACAGCATAGGTGGCAGAGGGTTTACATTTACACAACCCGTGAGCTCTACAATTGAGAGTGACGGTCAGAGACGACGGCGGTGAGATCGACTGCGACAGCGAGATCAACGGCAACGGCGAGATCGATGGCGACGACACGAACGGCGCGAACGAAGGCAAGATCGAACGACAATAAGGAAGGCATGACGGAAGGCGAGATCGACCACAGGATAAAGGGCGAACCTGATGAACGACAGCGCAACAGAGGCGAGATCGAACGATGAGATTGACGGCGAGAGCGCGAGAAAGGAGATGAATAGTGAGAATGAAAGCAGTGAGTGAATCGATTCAACAAAAGCTCAAAAAACCTAATCTGGTGAGCCCTAAAAAAATTTCTTCTCAAACTCGCAAAATCGGAACCCAACTCGCGATTTTAGGCGAGTTTAACATGCCTATCACCGAGTCTACCGATCCCACACCAAAAACGAGTTTGCTTACGAGTTAACTCGAAAGCACCGAGTGAACTCGTAAACTTGACCGATTTAACAAGTTAACTCGCGAGTTTGATAACCATGGTAAACACAAATCCTCTGTCAAGATTATCTTTGATGAAATGTCTGTCAATTTCAATGTGTTTGGTTCTGTCATGCTGTACTAGATTATGGGCTATGCTCATAGCAGACTTATTGTCACAGTGTAGTTGCACCAGGTTCTCCACTTTGACTTTAAGATCGTCCAAAATGATTTTCATCCAGAGTCCTTCACACATTCCTTGAGCAAGGGCTCAAAATTCAGCTTCTGCACTAGAAGGGGATACTCTATCTTGCTTTTTGCTTCTCCATGTTACCATACTATCTCCAGGAAATACACAATACCCAGAAGTAGATTTTCTGTCAGTAATAGAACCTACATAGTCAGCATCAATATATAGCTTCATAGTCAATTTGTCTTCCCTTTTGAATAATAACCCCTTTCTTGGACTTGACTTCAAGTATTGGATAATTTTGTCAACTGCTTGCATGTGTCTCTCTCTTGGATCATGCATAAATTGGCTCACTACACTCAAAGCATAAGAAATGTTTGGTCTTGTGTGTGATAGATAAATCAGTTTTCCCACCAATCTCTGATATTGGGCCTTCTCTACAGGAGCACTTTCTTCACTTACAATTCTGTGATTCTGTTCTACAGGAACTGTTGAGGTTCTACATCCCAGCTTTCCTGTTTCTTTGAGGAGATCAAGTACATATTTCCTTTGGGAGATGAAAATTCCATTCTTGGAGTAGGCAGCCTTTATTCCAAGAAAATATTTGAGTTTTCCTAGGTCTTTCATTTCAAACTGAGCTGCCAATTTATCTTTTAATGCCAATTTTTCTGTTTCATCATCTCCTGCAATAATCATATCATCCACATAGACAAGTAATAGAGTGAGTTTACCAGTAGAAGAGTGCTTTATGAATAGAGTATGATCTCCTTGGCTTTGTCTGTATCCCAAGGAAACCATTGCTTTTGTAAATCTTCCAAACCATGCTCTAGGGGATTGCTTAAGACCATACAATGCTTTCTTCAGGAGGCATACCTTGTTTCTTTCATTTTTCACTTCAAACCCTGGGGGAATCTCCATGTACACTTCCTCATCTAGATTTCCATGAAGAAAGGCATTCTTCACATCTAGCTGGTGTAAGTCCCATCCAAAATAGGCAGCCAAGGAGAGAATAACTCGAACTGTATTCATCTTTGCCACTGGGGAAAATGTCTCCTCATAGTCAATCTCATATGTTTGGGTATATCCTTTTGTCACCAATCTAGCTTTATATCTTTCTATTGTCCCATATGCCTTATGTTTCACTGTGAATATTCATCTACACCCTACTTCCTTCTTGTCTCTTGGCTTATCAACAATCTCCCAAGTTGAATTTCTTTCTAATGCATTCATCTCTTCTTTCATGGCTTGATTCCAATGTTCAATTTTCATGGCCTCCTGGATTGAGGTAGGAATTTATGTGACATCAATGGCAGCAATAAAACTTTTGTGCTTATTAGAGAGATTGTTAGTGCAAACATACTGAGAAATAGGATATTTAGCACATGATCTTCTTTCCTTTCTCAATGCAATGGGTAAATCCTCAATAATACTTACCTCCTCCTCATTGATATCTTCAAGGATCCTCACCTCCGGATTAGACAATTTTTCTTGCTCAAGAGTCAAAGTGGGTTGTTTTCTTCTTTCATATTATTTGCCAAAACATTTGTCTTCTTCCTCACTGTGGACTATGGTAGCTTCATTGCTTAGGTCTTGGGCATCCTGCAAAGACAAACATGGTAATGACAAGAAGGAGAGTTCATCCACTTCAAGTGCTTTCTCCCCCTGAAGTGGTGGACTGACATAAAAGGATTGTGTTTCATGAAAGGTGACATTCATGATGATAAAGACGCGATGACTCTGAGGATGATAACATTTGTACTCTTTTTTATTAGAAGGATACCCAATAAAGACACATTTAAGAGCTCTGGGATTTACCACAGTTAGGATGATGAGAGTGAACAAAAACAACACATTCAAAGACTCGACTAGGTAGACTCGTTATTAGGGAAGAAGAAAGAACAAAAGACAATAGAGACTCTATAGGACTAATGCCATTTAAGATACGAGTGGGTAACTTGTTGATGAGATATGTAGCAGTTAACACAGCTTCTCCCTAGTAATTTTTTAGAACAGACATTTGAAAAAGAAGAGCTCTAGTTACTTCAAGAAGATGATGATTCTTTCTTTCAGCAACCCCGTTTTGTTGAAGGGTGTTAACACAGGTTAGTTCATGAACAATACCATTATGAGACAAAAAATTGAGAAATTCATGATTCACATATTCAGTACCATTATCAGACCTAATTCTTTTGATATTTTTTCCAAATTGATTTTGGACAAGACAGAAAAAATTAACAAAAATTTGAAAAACTTCGGATTTATTTTTCATAAGGTATGTCTACGTGACACGGGTACAATCGTCAATAAAGGTAACGAACCATTTGGCTCCGAAAATAGAATCTATGACAGGACCCCAAACATCAGAGTGAATTAAATCAAATGGAGAAATACTCTTTTTATTACTAATAGGATAAGATGCTCGATGGTGTTTTGAAAATCGACAAATATCACAATTAAAAGACTCAACAGACTCTTTGGTAAACAAATGGGGGAAACAAGGACTTGATAAGACTAAATGAAGGATGTCCAAGCCTTTGATGATGTAGCCATATTTGGGAATTTGCCCACATCTCAGATGTAGCTTGTTGACTCATAATTTGTGTGTTGCTTTGGTCATCAAACTCTAAAAAATACAACCCACTTTGCTCCTTAGCAGTTAAAATCGTCTTCCCCATGGCAAGGTCCTTAAAAACACAATAAGTTGGAAAAAATGTTACTGAACAATTTAAATCCTTTGAGTTTTTGCACAAAGATAAGACTATTAGCTAATTGAGGAACATGTAAAACATCCTTGAATATAATAGATGAGTCCAAAATTATATTCCTAGAGCCGCATATAGGTATACCTTGACCAATCGCAACTATAATAAGTTGTGCTTTATTGCTTTTAGCATGAGTCGAAAGACCCACTAAAAGGTGTCATATGATCAGTTGCACCCGAATCAAGGATCCAAATACCTTGAGACACATGACCAACAGTATTGAGACAAATCTTACCTTCTATGGACAAAATACATGATCTAGAGGGCTTACTCATTGATTCCACCATTGCTTCCAAGCGCTCGAGTTTCTCCTTATAAGCTTTCATATCAAGATCTGGTGGTGGTGGTGGATTAGACTGTGAAGAACTAGATTGATTGGTGGCTTGCTGTTCTGAGGTGTTACAATGGAACTAGATTGTCTAATCCGGAGGTGAGGATTCCTGAAGATATCAATGAGGAGGAGGTAAGTATTACAAAGGATTTACCCATTTTTTAGTAGACCCTTTGTTGTTTCCCAGGCGCTCGAGAACATTCTTTCTTCCATGGAGTTTGAAGCATGTTTCCTTGGTATGTCCAGATCTTTTACAGTATGAACAATAGTCCCCATAAGTACCTTTTTCAAACGTCTTTCCCCCAGCATTTGTTCCCTTGTGGACTCCGTTTCCAGTTGTCATGGCAGAGCCTGCGTTGGAGATCCCTCCATTAAGCATGACGGTTCTCCGAGTTTCTTCTCCTCTTATCATAAAAAAAACTTCTGACAGGGATGGTAATTTTTCTCTTCCAAAAATCTGAACTCGGATTGGGTCGTACTCATGATTCAGGCCCTGGAGAAATTTAAAGATTCTTCCCCTTTCAATGAATTCAGCAAGAGCGGTAGCATCTGTTTTACACATCTTTATTGTTTGGTTCTGATCGAATTCCATTCAAAGACCATTCAGGATTCCGTGATATTCTGATACGGAAAGGGAGCCCTGTTTTGTATTAAATATCCTGTTCTCAATGTCATAGTATGTAGCAAGATCCTTTTTTAAAGAAAAAGCACTCTGTAAATCATCCCATATTTTTTTTTGCAGAAGAATGAAACATATAATTTCTCCTTATCTCAGGAATCATGGATTGCCACATCCAAGTCATAATTAATGAATCTTCATTGTCCCAAATTGAAAAATGAGTGTCGTCTAGTCCTGGTCCTTCCCCATCTATGTGATCAAGTTTTGAACTACCCTTGAGAACCCTTCGAATAAATTGGCTCCATTGTAAGTAATTCTGACCATCCAACCGACAGGTACCTCCTATATTTGGTAGGTCATTAGGTATCCGCAAAGGAATACTTTTTACTTCAGACATCCTGTAGAACAGAACTAGGAGTCTTCGGTGTCCTTTTCCGAGACGACGACGGTGTGTGGGTCACACCGAGAAGAGGAGCAAAACCTTCAAACTCAGATCTGCTCAAATATAGGCCAAACGGATCGTCACCGACCCCATGAATAGACTCAGGAGGCTCCGGCGACCCTGCCTGTGGCGGCGGCGGCGAGTGGGTCTCGCTGGAGGTGGGCGTGTGGGCAACACACGCCGGCGACGGTGGAGGCGCGTGGCGGCGCATGACGGCTCCTCTCACAGAGCGACTTTCGGCATTGTGGTCGCCGGTGTTGGGCGCACCTTTCTACCCTATCAAAGACCCCAACCGGCGACGGCAGCAGCAGCGATGGTCAGACAGCGGCGACGGTGCGACTGTTGCAGCGGAACGGAGCCCCAAGATCGGGAGCTCTGATACCAAGTTGAAAATAAGACTAATTTATTAAAAATACATTCTCGTATCCTCTATTTATAGTAATCTAATTATCCTAAAAAGAGAAATAGGGGTAGGAAAACAAAATAAAATAAAAGATTATATATCTATTTCATCTAATTAAGAAGATTCTAAAGATATTTTCTCTAATTACAACACATATATTCCAACCAACAAAACTAGCTAGTAATTATAAGAACATAAAATTGATTTAAAGCGTATAAAAGATACTCAAGAAAAGAAAAAAAACATGTTTTAATCATCCTTTTCTTTGGTACATGACAGCATGGAGTTCTGGGCCGAATACTTACCAGGCTACCACATCTGGCTCAAACTCTGCATCAACCCAATCATACCCAAGTATTTGCAAAACATTAAGTAATGTACCCTTCTCCTACCAAGTTTTATTACAAGTATGGATTGTTTAAAAGTCATCTTCACATTAATTTGTTCGACACAGTATGTTTTCCCTTAAATTTTATGCATGACGTTATGTAACCCAGAAGAGGATAACTTATACTGTTTTACATAAAGATCTGTTGGGTTACTTTATGCCAATAACCTAATCAAGACTCTCTTCTCACCACAACTCTCGAATAAAGAATGGAAAAGTATGTATATATGTATTAATGATGAATGAGTGAAACAGAATACAAGAATCACCCCAAGGAAGCCTAACCTTCCTCCTCTGGAAAATATCCAGTCTGAACAAATTCTCCGATCCCCCTCTCCCCCTACTTAGTTTATTATTTATACCTTCTCTCTCTTCTAACAACTATAACATATTACTCTCCTTACACGTGTCTCACACGTGTCTAACTCATTCTCTTTTATTCCTAACAAGATCTGTGTTCACTGTTTGCACGTCAAATAGTCAAACCTTCAGAATTAGCAGTGAAAACAATCTTAAACTATTTATCTTCCAAAGTTTTTATTATGGTCTAACAGACTCTCCCAACATGCCTACCATATAAATTCATAATATTGAAATTGAAAGACCACATTTTTTCCTTCTTCATTACAGAACTACCAAGCAGTAAGATCATGCAAGTTGCAATATTCCACTTAAGTAAAGTTCACTCAAGAATCTAAGAGACTTTATGCCCCATTAAGTTTATATTTTGTTTTATCAATAGTTTGCTTCATTTGCATTCTCTATTGTGTATTGAGAACTTCACCCACTACGTAATCTGAACCGCTCCAATTAACACTTATTAGTTTGCAAAGTGTATGAATAAAAGTTAAAAAAGTAATTCATAGACTCTGATGACATGGCATTGCTAGCCAAAGAGACAATTACTCAATTTTCTACAATTACTAAGGAAAAAAACAGCTATCTAACCGTTTAGTTTTGTCTTATGTGCATAGTAACAAATAAGCAAATTATGCACAATTCAAATAAAGTGTTTTAGAAAATAATCATTTTCGCATATTATTGAATCTGGAATCACTGTTCTTAGGGAAAATGTTATCATACTACTATATATTTGGCACGATTAGAAAATAAATACTTTCAAACAATTTCCTAAGAAAGCTTGTCAAAAAGACAGCAATTAATTTCCAAAATAATGCCAACCAAACATGGAATGGTATGAACCACTCAAAAATAATTTGAACTCGAACGTAGAAAAGGTTTTCCATAAATGCAGGAAAATTTGAGCACTACTACAAGTAGAAAAATGATACACATATATTTGTGGATAGATAACATCTTTTCTTCACAGAAAATAATCTAATTTGCTTTTATGTATTGAATTGCTGTTGATTTAGCACAAATTTTAAAGAGAAAAAGGTTTGATTTTACTTCTTCGCTAAAAAAATCCACAAACTAGCTTGAAACTATTTGTATTGGCAGAATATTTTTACATTGTCACTTTAATATTAGACAAGTGATAGTTTCGATAAAATAAATGCTAGGTATTTTATAATGTCCAGTTCTGGCACTTATTGAGATGATATTTTAATCTCCTCACTCTAACAGATTCAATGCAGATTTTGAAGACATAAAAACGTATAGAAGCCAGACGTCCACCTTCATTCAAACCATGCAATAAAACTGTCAGGAAAAGAAAAAAAAAATTGGCATTTTCATCCGGAATCGTAATTTAATCTGACTGAACCTGATTGATAGAGTCAAGCAACAGCTGAAAGAAATTACCACCAACGACTATGCTCTAAACACTCTGATACACCTGTTTCAGTAAGGACAGTGAATCCCTTCTCTCCACACATTTTCCTTTGTAATCTGAATACTCTAATTTAATTCATGTTGATTGATCCTGGAATCTTAATTAATGCAGACTGAAACTGCTTGACGTAGTTTTCAAGCAACGGCTGTGATAAATTACCACCTAGGAGTATGTTCTAGACACTCTGACTTGCCAGTTTCGATGGGGACAGTGAATCCCTTCTTAGCTCACATTCCCTTTGTAAATTCTATCTTGTTGCCTAACACAACACAAACAGCTTTCGACTGGAAGAAGAAACATTCAAGGCAACAATCAAACGCGTACATTTGGCTATCTTCTTCCAAATGCATTACACACAATGAGACAAGTTTTAGAAATGAAACCTTAGTAAGCAGGTAAGTCTTATTTCTTTCGTCAACACGCCGTTTCTTTTGTTTTGTTTTTCCTTTTTGAAATATGGAATGATCAAAAAAGTGTTCAACGTGTCACCTTTGCCAGAACTCAAGGTCGTGTAAGGCAAACAATTTCCTAGACAGCAAGTTAAATATTCTTCCGATTCCATACCTACTTCACAGTCAAATCCTCTCCACTAACAGTCACTAAAATTCTCTAAAAAAATCATGAAATTCAAAGTGCATAGATAACCGATGCGGAAGCAGAAACCACTGGAACTCTCGCCGAAATAGTTCGAAAGAAGAAGAATGCGATACACGTGGAAATGAAAACGCATTACCTTAACCTTGTCTCTTAATTCCTCAACTTTGGAAGCCATGGAGTGCGAAGGAACCGAGGAGGTAGAGTTTCTTCTCGCAAACGGTGTAGATGGTTTCTGATCGTTTTGCTCCGGCGAAGGAGACGTCGACGTCGACTTCCACGGCTCGAAGCCGGTGATGTTCCAGCTCCAGCGGTTACTCTGCTCCGCCATTGCCGCTGCCGCGAAACCCTCTCAGATTTCCACTCCCTCACCTTCAAAATCGACAGAGAGCAATTATGATTAATGTGATATAATTACTACTGAGATTGTTCTAAAAAGTGAAAGAAAAAAATACGAAAAAAAACACTGACTGAATGGAAACAGCTTTTTGGTTTGCATCAACATCATTACCGTACGGTACCGGCTGTGCCTGTAATAATAACAGAGTGAGGAAGCGGGTGTTTGTTTGGTTTTTTAGACCGTGCAGACGACGTCGTTTTAGAAAATAGAACACTTTTGTTGCATTTTCGGCCCAGCAAATATTCTACATGGTTCGTGGATTGGACTTGAGTCCTACGCCAAGACTTTCATGTAATTTGGTAATATTATGTTTGGTTTAATTAAATTTTAAATTTGAATATATTTAGATATTTTAAATTGAGTTTTTATTAAAAAATAATACTTATTTAGTACTAAAAAAATTTATAGTTTTAATTGAATTTTTATAATTTAATATTTTTAATATATTATGTGATAATTGATAAATTATGAAATTAGTATAAAATTGAACTAAGTGTTAAATGAGATTGAGTATGAAGTGAAAACAAAAAAGTATTGAATGAGGGTAAACAAAACAAAGAGAAAAATAAAATGAAAAATTAACAAAGACATAAAATTCCTTAACAAAAATCTCTTTTTTATAGACTGACCATATGTGAATTCAAAATTCCCTATTTATAGGAATAGGTTCTCCACGAGGTTTAAACTCGAGACATTAGATTTGTTGTAAAGCTCTTATACTATTGTTATGAAAAAGTTCACCAATCCATTAGTATAAAGACATAAAATTCCTTAATATTTTGCTTAATTTGTTATATGAAGGAATATAGTATAATATTAATACAAAATAATACTTAAAGACAACTATAAGCAAGACAATAAAGTAAGATAAAAATAAAGTCACTCATTTTAAAAAATTAAATAGATAAAATTCAATTAAAAAATATTTTTCTTTTAATATTTAATAAAAAATAATATAAACTCAACTAAAAATAGTTAAATTTATCAAAAATTTTAAGTTTTAATTAAGTATATTATTTTTTATAAGGTGATTTCTTCCTTTCTCCTTTATTAATATTATTAATATTATTAATATTATATCATATAGAAAAGAGAAGATTAAGAGCTAAGTTTGACAAGTTAATTATGGGGACACGATTTAATCTTGTGACATGTGATGTTCTTTTAAATTTTACATTTTAAAATGCAAATTATTTTCTTTAAAATATTTATAATTATAAATATTAAATTTTAATTCAACTTGTATTTCAACTATTACTATTGTATAAGGAAAATACATATGATTTCTTTGTCGTTCGCATATTAAAGTTATTTTTTATTTTTTAACAAATAACAAAATTATCATTCAAATTTAATACAAATTGGTAATATACTACAAATTTTCTCTGCTTAAAAATAATTGCGTAACATTTCTACACAAATATTAAAAGGAAAAACATGTTTCTCTTATTATGAAGGAAAATACAGTTTTTGTCATTCGCATATTGAAGTGTTTTGTTTTTTTTTAACAAATAACAAGATTATCATTTAAAATTAATACAAATTGGTGGTGGAATATTTTCTCTGCTTAAAAATAATTGCGTAACATATCTACACAAATATTAAAAGGAAAAGCATGTTTCTCTTATCATTATACTTTCAAAGTAGTCGTTAACAAAAGCTACCTATTTTATAAGCTTTTCTAAAATTGTATTAATCTGGTGTGATAAAAACGTGTCTTTATTAGTTTTTGGGAAAAGATGGAACATTGATTTGTTAATTTTTATTAAAAATACAAATAAAAATTTTGGAATATTGATTTGTTGATTTTCATTAAAAATACAAATAATAATGCATATGAAATTCCATAGTAAGAAATTAAAAATATAAGTGCTTATTAAAAATATTAAAGGATAAACGATCATCAATGTTGCCCGTACGTGAGATTGTTAATTCAATTCTTAAAGTAAGAAATGGTTTTGTTAGAAGTAAACTATATATAAATTTATTCTTAAATTTTATAATTTAATAAAAAAAATGGTAACTATTTTTAGGTCAAACAATCACTTATATTTTACAAAATCTCCGGATTTTTTAAGTATTTTTAAATTTCTAAAATAGTACTCATGTTTGTCCAATTTCACTGTTTCATTTGTTTGAGACTTTTTTAATAAGGTATTTTAATATTTAAATCAATAAGAATTTGAACATAATGTATTAAGTCAGGTCATAAATGTGTTTTATAATAATAATTATTATTATTAACTTTTATTTTTTTTAGTTGTGATTCAATTATACTTTAATTATTATTAATTAATTAATTTATATTTATTATTATTAAGTGTTAATCTCACATTTATTCCACAACTACTTAGTATTGTTAGTTAATTCGAGAGATTAGTCTAAATGTGGATTGAGGCAATTAATTTAAGGATGAATCTCAAAATTTATAACTCAATTTAAAAAATCAGTCTCAAAAGTATACTAGCCAATCTTGTTAATTAATTTAAAAAATTATCCTAATATATCTTGGTAACTAATTTAGAGTTAAATTAAATTTTAAAATACAACTTACCTCAATGATGTCATGGCTTAAGTATCATACTTAAAATACAACTTTCATTTTCTAAACAATTAAGTTACGCTACATTTCACACCTTCCTAGTTTACAATTTACCTTCAAAATTAAAACATTTAAGTTAAGGACTTCACGGTGAACACCAATCAAGATTTTTAGAATATATTAGTCATTCACAATATATAGGTATATTTTTCACTTATACCCTCACACAGCTAAAAAAAATATATATTGATGGTAATTTAGCACCAAACATGTAAAACAAGTATCGTACCAGTTCTAATTCAATCGGATAATGATATTTTGATAACATTTTTTTGATAACATTTTAACATTATCTACGTGTCATTATGTGATTAGTTCAAAATTATTCCACAATCAATAATAATAATAATCATAAACACCAACATGGACCAATCACATAATAACATGTAGATGATATTAAAATGTTTTTAAAAAATGTTGTCAAAGTATCATTATTCAATTCAATCTGTCATGTGAAATTCAAGTCTTATTTGTCCACTAGATTGCATCTAGATAAAATAAAAATGATTAATTCAATAAATATTTAGTCAAAATATAATAAATTGAATAAAACATGTTAATACATTAGGATCATTGAAAATTTCTTTGTCTTTTTATTGAAAGAAAATAATGGATGGGAAAAAAAGGAATCTCAATCAAACAGAAAGTGAAAATCTTATTTGGTTGAAGTGAAATAGAGTGAAAATAGAGAGAGAAAAATGTATAGTTATATGTGTGCTTTCAATAAAAATAAAGAAAAAAGAAACATGGTAATTCGTAAGAATTTACATATTTATTCCTGACATTTTTAAATTTTATTTATTTATTTCATTTTAAGTTATTTAATCCATAGTGATTCAATATCCTAAATATGATAAAGGAGAAGAAAAAATGTGTGGTCGTTGAAATTAAAACGGGACAATTTTACTATTATCTCTTCACGAGTGGTACTCCCTCCACCACTCCATCTTCTCCCTCCACCTTTCCAATTTTTTCTAAATTTCAATCTTACCTTTTTTATTTTTACCTTTACCTATTTTACTTTTTATTTTTTAAAACCCTAATCCCCTTTCACTTTCACTCTTTCTCTCAGAGGCAAGCCCCCACCCCCTCATCCCCACTTTCACTTTCTCTTTTTTTTCAATTTTGACATTCGTTAACACCTACGTCACCACCATATATCACACTGTGTGACTTTGAATATCAGAACTAGTTTATTGAACCTACACCACATTGAGAAATCCTCACATCCAATAGGTTGATGAGCTACCACATGAAATTTGTTGTTCAAACTGTCAATTTCTTTCCATTACTTTTTAAAAAATATGACAAAAGTGATCAAACCATATACAATATAACGTAACTAAGCTTTCGAGAATAAAGAATAAAGAAAAGATGAAAATGGAGAATGGTGTTAATAGATGTGGAAATTGAAAAGAAAGAGAGAAAGTGAAAGTGAGGTGGAGGGTAGGGCTTGCCTCTAAGAGAAAGGGTGAAATTGAAAGGGGATTAAAGTTTTAAAAAATAAAAAGTAAAATAATTAAAAATAAAAGTAAAAAGAGTAGAATTAGAATTTAGAAAAAGTTGAGCAGGCGGAGAGAGAAGAGGGGTGGTGGAGGGAGCAAGACTCTCTCTTCACATGTATGACTATTTCTCATCTTATGGGCACCACAAATATTGTAGTTAGCCCAATTTTTTTTTTTTTCACTTGCCTTTTTTTATTCTAATTCAAACCTTCGTATCATTCTTATTATTTTCCTATTTGATTTCCACTATATCAAATACAACATATTTTTTTAGTAAAACGAGGACAAAATTGAATGTAAAATAAAAGTGTTTTATTACAAAATGTAATTAAAATATAATTTTTTACGTCATTTTTCGATAAAATATATTCTTAAGTTTCGAAGCAAAGAATATATGATTAATCGTAATAATACTATTTTAACGAATTAAAATAAAAAAAAAACAAATAAGTAAAATAAAGTTATTGAGTTAAAGTGAAGTAAAATAACAAAAAAACAAAAAATAATTGAAAGTTAAAAATTAAAAGTATACAGTTCAAAATATATTGTTCTTAATATATTTTACATATTTACCAAAATATGTTGTTCTTAAAATATATTGTTATATTTTGTTAATCTGCAACCTGTTGATGAGACAAAGCCAGCTAAGTTAACTTTGTAAAAAATACACAATAATTCCATCATATCATTGTTCATCTACCGACATGTTTTGGTGATATATGTTTTTCAAAGGTTTTAGAAATAGTTTTAAAAATCATATGTATGTATGGTTGGTTTTTCTTTTTGGGTTTTGAAATTGCAATAGCAAAGGACTTAAGGGGGATTGGCTCTTTCTACTGCAGTAACGATATCAAATAATCAAGTTGTTCTTCTTTTTAAGCATAGACAGTTGGATCCCACACAAAAGTTTATTCGAAGACCATTTCAAAATTAATTCATCATCTTTTCCATAAAGAACAATTATATGAAATAAAATATACTTTAGAAAAACTTCGATTCCTATCGTCAATTATTTTTACTTCATTCATTTCACGTGCTATAATTTGTGTATATGAATATCGTTTC